ACAAATAATTTCTTATTTTCCTTTATGTATCAGACATAATCTTAGATCCTGCTCTGCTGTTTATGTAAATGTAATGATCCTGGCAAAATACTTGTCTCACTGGTCAATCAAAAATATTTTACAAATGTTCTGGGGAAAAAATGCTGATAATCACATAAGAATTATGAAAATTTAGGCAACACTTCAAAGTTGGTAAAAGTTGGTTGTTTTTTTATTTTTGTAGGGTACTGGGAATTTAACCCAGGCCCTTGCACATGCTAGACTCCTTATAACTCCTCAACTTTTTGAGGATGAAGTATTTTTCTAAGAAGAATTATTTTACAAATAATTTCTTATTTTCCTTTATGTATCAGACATAATCTTAGATCCTGCTCTGCTGTTTATGTAAATGTAATGATCCTGGCAAAATACTTGTCTCACTGGTCAATCAAAAATATTTTACAAATGTTCTGGGGAAAAAATGCTGATAATCACATAAGAATTATGAAAATTTAGGCAACACTTCAAAGTTGGTAAAAGTTGGTTGGTCATTTTATAAAGCTATAGTAATTAAAACAGTGATATTAGCATAATAGATATATATCAATAATATAGAATATACAACCCAAAAATACACCCTTAAATAATTTAAAACCTTGTATTATCAGTTGATTTTCAACCATGCAGCAAGACTACTCAATRTGGAGGGGGGATAGGAAGGGCAGCAGAATACAATAGACACTAGTATGGCAGTATGTTATAAACGTGGCTGTATAACCAATGTGATCCTGCAATCTGAACACGTGGGAAAAATAAGAATTCATACTCCATTTGAATCAAATATATGATATATGATATGTCAAGATCATTGTAATGTTTTGAGCAACTAATAAAAAAAAAAAAAGACTACTCAATAGGGCAAGGGCAGTCCCCTCAACAAATGTTGCTGAAAAAAATTGTAGAACCACATTCCAAAAGAAAGAACATGGAGCCTTAAGTTACAACATACAATAATTAACACAAGATGGATTAAAGACCTAAAATGTTAAGACCCAAACTATGAAACTCCTAGGAGAGAAAAACAGGAAAAACTTGACGTTGGTTTGTTAGTAATTTCTTGGGTRTTACATTTGTGCACAATAAGACATAAAATGAAAAGGCAGCCTATGTGATTGGAGAAAATATTTTCAGATCACATCTGACTAGGAGTTAACATCCAAAAGAACTGGTACGACTCAACAAAAACATAAAACAACCTAGTGAGAAAATGGGCAAATAAATACATATCTATCCAAAGGTAATATACAAATGGAAAATAACCATATGAAAAAAATGCTCTCTATATCACTAGAGAAAGTTAAAATAACAAAAGAACAATGAGATTTAAAAAAATGACAAGTGTTGGCCAGCAAGTCCAGAAACCAAATGGATGAGCCTTAGAGCTATTATGCTAAGTAAAATAAAACAATCACAAAAAGGTGTACCCACTTATGTCTAAAATAGTAGGAACAAAGCAAAATGGTGGTTATCAAAGACTGGTGGGGTTGCAGGAAAAGCAAGAGTTATTATTTAATGGGTAAGAATTTCAGTTTTTTAAGATGAAATGTTCTGGAGATTTGTTGTATACTAACACTACTGAACTGCACACACAAAATGGTTAAAATGATAAATTTTATGTATATTTCATCACAATTAAACTTTAAAAACAATGTTGGGAATAGTAATATTTTTTTCTCTGCTTACTTTTCAGAATTCAAGATATTTTAGAAATATGTTATTCAAGATGAAAAGAAGTTTTGAAACGTCCAGTAGTATGAAGAGACAGCTGATTCTTAACATAATAGTGTTTAAAAATGTAGAATCCAAAAAMCCCCAGTACTTMAAAAAAAATGTAGATTTCAATATTTTATACTTTCTTTAATAAAATCAAAAGTATTTAAACTTGAGTTGAAATTTTTTTCATGGATATTTATAAAGGATGATGCAGAAGGTTTTCCTTTATTTAAAATATTTTTATTAAAAAGACTTTAAAAAATTCTCTGTAATGTTGTAAGGTCAGTCTTTAAAGAGTTCTTGTTCACATGTTATGACAGTAAAAAAGATAACTGTTAACAAAATAAATGTTAATTTCTGTGATAAAAAGGACAAGTTGAACTTTGTCTCTCTGTGTAGTACCTTAATTTTGTATTTGTAAGTAGTATTTTATTTGTGTGGGTTTTTTTTTCCTTTTCTTTTTGGTACTAAGGATTAAACCCAGGGGTGCTTAAGCATTGTCACATACCCAGCCCTTTTTATATTTTAATTTTGAGACAATGTCTTGCTAAATTGCTCTGGATCTTTCTAAATTGCTGTAGCTGGCTTTGAACTTGAGATCCTCCTGCCTCCGTCTCCCAGGCTTGCTCCACCATGCTTGGCACATATGCTTTTCTTAAATATACTTATTTTCTTAAATATACTTATTTTCTTAAATATACTTTCTTAAATTATACTTTACTTATTTGGAAATATGAATCAAGCAAATGAATTGTTTGAGACCAAAAATATGAAACAACCTGTTATCTTTATTTTAGCCCATCGATGTATGTTAACATCCCAGAAAACCAAATGGCATTTCCATAAACATTCCTTGATCACATTAATTATATTTTTCCCTTATACTTTTATGTTATCTTTTCCTCCATACATAAGTTAATATATATTTATTAATTTCTAGAATTTGTGCATTTATAATTATATTTGTGTATAATTAGTTTAGGCCTTCATTACAAATTATTCATTCAAGTCATGAGTTTCCTGGTGTTAACAGTAAGATTAACAAGAACTTAAGAGAAAAAGAAATAAAATTAACAAATGAATAACTTAGGAGACAAATTAGTGAAAACATAACAGCTGATTTTTAAAAAATATTTTTTAATTGTACGTGGACACAATATCTTTATTAATTTTTGTGTGGGGCTGAGGATCAAACCCAGTGCCTCATCCATGGTAGGGGAGTGCTGTACCACTGAGCCACAACCTCAGCCCCATAATAGCTGATTCTTCAGTAAGACTGATCAAGTAGAAAAGAATCCAGATTGCAGTACAGAATGACAAAAAAAGTTGGAAACTACAAAGAAGGGGTAAGATAATAGAAAATTTAGTTAGATGACAGCTTTGAAGAATTAAGTTACTATCATGGACTTCCTATGTTGAGAGGCTCAGGTGGTAAGGAACATGGGCAACCTGCAGCTGACAGCAGAAATTAAAGCCCTCAGTCCTACAAATTCTGCCAACATGAGTGGCTCTTTCTCCTGTCTCAGATGCTGCCACAGTCCCAGCTAGTACCCTAATTATAGCTTCATGAGACCCTGAGYAGAGTCACACCCAGAATCCTGACCCATAGAAACTTTGAAATAATGAACATACATTGTTTTAAGCCACTAAGCTTGTGGTAACGTGTTACACAACAACAGGAAACTAATACAATCTGTTGTCCATCTACCACATTATCACCTTACAAGCACTCAGCCAGCTGTCCTATCTTCCCCATATAGTGATAATCATAATGTRGAGAAGGTTAATATAGTCAGTAGAAGATGAATAGTCAATTGTCATATGACAATTTTGCAAATAATTGAAACTCAACAATATTCTCAAATCAGACTATGATTTTTTTTTCCTTTCTCCTTCTTTCTCTTTTGTGTTTGTGTATGTGTACTGGAGATTGAACCCAGGGCCACATATACTTTTCTTTTTTTCTGTACATTTTTTATGATGTTAAATATAGCTTGAATTTTTTTGCTTGTTTGCCATTTCTCTTAGTACGTTCAAACACAGTAGGTTGTTAAGTATAAAGCACAAACTATAAACACAACTGATAAATTCAACTACACAAAAATTTAAAGCCTTGTTTACTAAAAGATAAGAAAAAAGATGGGAGACAACCCACATATAGAAGAAGTTATATACATAAACAGCAAAGGATAAGTATCCAAAACACAAAGAACTACAAAACAATGAGAAAAAGATAAACCAGATAATGTGTAAAATGTACCAACAGAAAAAGTTAAACAYCAGTGCCCCTAGGTTGAGTGCTACTTGAATATGTTTTGCCCCACACCCCTTTCTCTGAGTTTGGTAATATATGTATAACCCTTCCAGAAACACAGAAAAGTATTACTGAAAATAAAAATAAATAAAAGAAAATAAGTTTTATATACTTGGTCACATGTAGTAAAATATCCTACATTTTCCTATATGGTTATGTACTGAGATATATAGAGACAAAATAAAACTTAGTTTTTCATTTTCTTCTTTCTTATTCTAGCATATAGGACCAGACCAGACATTGCTTCCAAATATAGTAATGTGTGTACACACACACACACACACACACACACACAAACACGTATTTTTGTGTGTGGTGATGGGGATCAAACTCAGGGCCTCCTGCACACAAGGTAAAAACCACATCCCCAAAGTCCCCAAAATATTTTAAATTGAACAAAGCCTACCAATTTTATGGAAGCAAAAATCATTTTTACCACTGTTTCTCACAATCTTCCACATACCTATGCTAGGTAAGAACTGGTATTCAATAAGTGCTTGATGAATTTARTTGTGGATGATATATATTTTATTCCTTTTCCACTTTCCAATCTGATAAAGTTTTTATTTCTTCATTTAATTTTATTATTTATTTATTATTTGAGACAGGGTCTCCCAAGTTGCCCAGGCTGGCCCTGAACTCCTATGCTCCTCCTGCCTCAGTCTCCTAAGTAGCTGGCATTATAAGTATGTACCACAGTGCCTAGTCTGGTAAAGCCGTTAGACTTTAAATACTTGYTTTGCTTTTTATTTCTTATCTAATCTCTTTTCTAGGATTGTCAATCCTTCACACTTTATCTACAACCCTTTATATTAGGGTCATTTATGACAAACTGAGAATGAATAATTAATTACATTCATTCTAGTCAATCATTGTTGGGCAATCCCAATTACTATAGTCACTTTGATTCTTATTTTTTTCTTAAAATAAAATTTCAAAATTCATTAAAAATTGGAAATCCATTGTTTCTTTCATATTCAATTTGTTTGCACAAAAATTCTTTACTTATTTTGTCAATGTGGTTTCGAGAGAATAGATTGACTACAGGAATAAAATAATGCTCCAGTTGTTCTGCCCTAAGACACTCAAGAAAGAATGCCACACAGTTATCAAAGCAGACTACTAGATTTTTGGGGTGCCACTGACTATCCTGTGGATCCTTGGTACATACATGCAGGAAGGCAGTTTTCACATGATAAGAGCAGAATTTATCCAGTTCTTTTCGGTCTTCAAACTTTTTTTTCAGCTGTTCCAAAAGGTATTTCATTAGTTTTAAACAATCTTTCCTGTCAAATAAAAAAGAAAGCCATTTACTTTTACTTATATACAACTTGTTTATTTCACAAAGGACCTCAGAATCTTACAGAAAAAAAAACCATTTATAAACAGTAAAGATATATTAATATAATTAAGTATAATATAGTCACCTAAGCCTGATTATATTTTCAAATATATGCTTTGCCAAATATATGTTTTGAAGTTTCAAAAGCACATATTTCTTCTCTCTTTTCCAATCCTAGCTTAGACATTTTCTTCTATCATTGTTAATTCAACTAGGGCTGAGGATGTGGCTCAGTGGTAGAGCATTTGCCTGGCATGTACAAGGTTCTAAAGTTCAATCTCCAGTAAAACACACACACACACACACACACACACACACACACACACACACACAGAATTAATTCAACTATGTAGAACTGACAGATATTTATATGACTCTTCTATTCCTTCGGTATCTATAAAACTTTTGTTTTGATTTTTATAAAATTATTTTATTTTGCTGGATTGTAAATATTTATCTTTATTTTGTTTATTTATTTTTATGTGGTACTGAGGATCAAACCCAGGGTCTCACACATGCGAGGCGGGCGCTCTACCGCTGAGCCACAACCCCAGCCCCTGATTGTAAATATTTATAAATATTTATTCAATTATTTRGGAGATGACAAAACTTAATATTATAAAATTACTTAGCCACGTCAACAATATACTTTCCCGAATGCTTGCTTCAAAGTCTGCATATAAGGCTTTAAAGAACCTCTGTGCCTGAATGTTGGCCATTCATCATTTGAGGTTTTCTCATTTATGACCTTTAACTGATCAGCTTTAGAAACTCACATAAACAATTCTTTTTCCATCTCAGTTTTTTATGGTGTGTATGCTAAAGAGAAATAACTATTTAGCATGATTTCAAGTTTGGCCAGTCAGTTCCTAGCTTTCAATGCAGTCAAACCATTCCAAAGCAAGCACTAGTATCCAATAAGAGTAACCCTCTGCCTCCTCCCATTACATGGCATTACTATGCTCACACTTTCCCCAGGTCACCAAACCCTTCCCTGGCCCCCAACTCAATGATCATTTTTAGATGTGAGCTACAGAATCAACAAAAAACTAAACATATCACATATAKTCTGCCATTTAACAAAATAAGGAAATTACCTGCAACATTTAACTCCATCAGTTTCACAACATGTTTTAGATTGTCCATGGTTGTTCAAAATGTCTTTTTCAATGTGAGAGAAAGAGAGCCGCCATGTCTCTTCTTAATTTCAAAAAGAAAAACAGAAAAGCACTTTATCAAGAGAATTCAAATCTAGACAACATGATATTTAAGTGTTTCTCTATTAAGATATTATTCTGAAGAAATCTAGAGAAAGACAGACCAAAAGAAGTGAACAAACATATAATTTAATTATACATTAAAATAAAGGCAGTGAAGCAAAGAAATGGACCTAAATGGGAAAAAAGTGGGAGAGTCCAGGAGGAAGTAGGGACTTAAAGCCAAGGTAAGATGTATTGCTTATTGATATAATGCCAAATTCAGTTTTGTTAATATTTTGTTTCAATAGTAATTTGAATCAACTGATTCAGTTTTTTGTATCATCCTTGCAAGTTTGGGTATTAATATAAAATAAATTGGGAAATATTTTCTTTCTATTCTTTGTGAGAGTTTGTGTAAGAGTAGAATGACATTCCCTGAGTCTTACCATGGCTTGCTCTTTTATTTAATTACTTTTTGGTACAGGAGAATTGAACCCAGGGGTGCCTAACCACTGAGCAACAWCCTCAACCCTTTTTAAATTTTTTTTTAAATTTTAAGACAGTGTCTTGTCAAGTTGTTTGTCTCACTAAGTTACTAAGGCTGGCTTTGTACTTGTAATCCTCCTGCCTTAGCCTCCCAAGCCGCTGAGGTTACAGATGTGTGCCACTGGCTTGCTTTCTTAAACTCTAATCATTCTGGTACCTAGTTGTTTTTATATCAGTAATGCATGRCTGGTTTATAATTAGAAAACTCAATAGATAAAATCTATCATATTAACAGAATAGAGGAGAGACATCACATCATCCTCTCAGGAGATGCAGAAAATATAGCTAATAAAATTCTATATTCGTTCATCATTTAAAACAAAAAATACTTCTCAGCAATTTGAGTTTAGCTGAGAGCTTGATCTAATAAAAAGGAGATTTTAGAAAACTAGAGCAACATGATAAAATGAGGTCAAAATTTGAAGGTTTCCCCTTGAAGTCAGAATAAAGGCAAGGATGTCTTCTATTTYTCCCCCCTGGTACTGGGTATGGAACCAGAGCCTTGTACACACTAGCCAAGCACTAAGCCACATCTCTAATGCTTTTGTCACAGTATCTCACTAAGTTGCCCAGGTTGGCCTCAAATTTGCAATTCTCCAGCCTTAGCCTCCTGAGGAACTGGAATTATAGGGGTGTATCACCATTCCTGGCCTGCTATCCCTATTTCTGTTCAACATGGATGTCCCAGAAAACACAAAAATGGAAGGAAAAACARGGTTATACCACTGGAAAGAGAGAAACAAACTATCATTATTGGTAAATGATACAACTGTACATATAAAAATATAAGAAGGTATAAATAAATTTACAGAATTTATTTAAGAATTACCATCATAGCTGGACATGGTGGTGCATGCCTATAATCCCAGCAGCTCAGGAGGCTGAGGGAGGAGGATCAAAAGTTCAAAGTCAGGCCCAGCAACTTAGCAAGGCCCTAAGCAACTGAGCAAGACCATCTCTAATAAAGAAAAAAAGCTTTAAATAGATCAATTGCCTATGAGTATAACTCTAACAAAAAAAAAAAAATAACAACATTTTTGTAGAGAAAACTCAATACTTCAATTAGAGGTAGCAAGTGTGGTGGTGCACCCCTGAAATCCCAGCTACTTCAGAGGCTGAGGCAGGATGTTGGCAAGTTCAAGGCCATCCTGGGCAATTTAGTGAGACTTTGTCTTAAAAACAAAATAAAAAGGGCTAGGGGTGTGACTTAGTGGTAGAGTCTTCACACCTAGTAGGTATGAGGTCCTCAGTTTGATGTCCAGTACCACCAAAAAAAAGAAGCACTTGAGGAAATTCAAATAAATGGAGACATGCACTTGTTCACATGACCAAAGATTCATTATTTTTAATATATCAAGTCTTGACAATTTTATCTACACATATAATGTTATCTTAATCAAAATTCCAAAAATTGTTTTTGTGGGGAACTTGATAAGCTGATTCCAATGTATACATGAAAATGCCAAGGGTCAATAATATCTAAAATACCACTGAAGAACAAATTTGTAGAACTTTCCCTACCAGATATTAAGGTCAATTATAAAGCTATATTATGTATGACAAAGTGGTACTAGTGCAAGGATAGATCAAAGTTTTTTCTCTCCTTTTTTGTGGTGGTAMGTGTCAAAGCTAAGACCTGGTGCTCTACCATTAAGCTATACCCCAGCCAAGATGTTAATGGAACAAAATAGTGCAGGCATAGCTACCTAAACATTCAGTCATATGTGCTCCTTGCAAAACAGTAAACAGATCAGTGGTCGCCAGGGGTTTGGAAGGGGAAGGGTGGAAATGATGAAGCATAGGACTTTTTAGGAAAGTAAAACTATTATAGAGGGGCCAATACATATCCAATGTATTTGTCAAAATTTGTGCTGTGTATTGACTCAACACAGAGTCAACCCAAATTATGCAAATTTTTTAAAAAGCACTTGACAGCTGAGCACCATGGTACATACTTATAACTCAGGAGACTAAGGCAGGAGGATCTCAAGTTTGTGGTCAACCTCAGCAATTTAGCAAGTCCCTAAGCAACTTAAAGAGACTCTGTCTCAAATCTTTTTAAAAAGGGGGTACTTTACACTGAGGATGTAGCTCAGTGGTAAAGTACCCATGTATTCAGTTTCTAGATGAACAACAACAATAAAACAAAACAAAAAACCACTTAGGATGTCAGGATAGGTAATAACATAATTCAGGGTGTGCTCTAATTATAAAGAAAGAAACTCTAATTATATTAGATATATGAAACAACCTGGGGAAAAAGATGCTTTTCTTTATAAATTAACTCAGAGTCTAAGACTAAAGGCAAAAGGCACTACACAAGCTCTATACTGTAATCATAACTGTTTCCCATAGGAGAATTGTTTCACAATTCTGAAACAAGTATATCTGTATATTAGAATCGAAGAATTAAATAATCGAGTGGCTCATGGTGTGGGCCAGTGTTTTCAATGTCAGAATGAGAGGTTATARATAACAGAGAAGGACAGAAAGATCCATGTAGCAATGGATTATAGTTCAGATATCAGTATGACTTCATGTATAACTTAACAATACAGGGGGCTACATATAGAAATATTTATAGATATGTATAAATACAAGGGTTAGTGTGCACATGTTTCCTTGCTTCACCAAGCGAGGGGGATGACACCCTAGTAGTGATGAGCACACCTATCACCCAGATCTTGGTTTCTACCACATTCTCCAATAAAAAGATCCAGACGTCCTTGGGTTCCAGGACAGAAGCAGGCCATATACAAGATAAGCCTGGATCTCATAGTGCTWGAAAGTGAAGAAGTGTGCAAAAAAGAGTGAGGGGATTATGTCAAAAGGACCCAGAAGTTAACTAAAAGAGCTCMTCATGGCTAAAGCTGAAACACTCTAAGCAACAAACTAAATAAAGTATTATTATRTTATAGCCCAAAGTATGAAACAAATATCCCCTTGTCCATCCTGATAAATAAATAAAAAACTGAAGAGACAAGTCTCCATACAGAAAAATCCCAAATATTTCATGTAAATACAGATGCTCCTTGACTTATGATGAGATGATGTCCAGAAAACCCATTGTAAACAGAAAATATCATAAATTCAAAATGCATTTAATAGCTCCAAGTGAATATGATGGCTTAGCCTAGTCTAAGAATACTTACATTAGTCTATTTAAAAAAAAAAAAAAAAGGTTCAAGGGGCTGGGGTTGTGACTCAGTGGTAGAGTGCTCGCCTAGCATGCACGAGGCACTGGGTTCGATCCTCAGCACCATATAAATGTAAAAATAAAGATATTGTGTCCACCTAAAACTTAAGAATAAACACTTTTAAAAAAATTCTCTCTCTCTCTCTCTCTGTCTCTCTCTCTCTCTCTGTCTCTCTCTTTAAAATAAAAAATAAAAAAAGGTTCAAATGAAGCTTACTACAACTGCTTRATAATACGACTATAACTACGCCTTTTCAGTTCTTTCTCTCACTCTCGTCTTGTAACCTATTTATCCTAATGGCTCTTGCAATGCCAACAGCATTAGTTGTCTGTGGGTCTTCTACTGTCCCACCAGAAGACATTTCCAAACTCCTTTATGAGTTCATGTTTAACTTCACATTTAAAATACCTTGAAAACCGTTTCCTTTTTTTGCATGCTTGGGTACGAGGTAAAATGGCTGTCGTCTTAGATTGGTCCTAACTTTTGCTCCAAGCCAGTTATTGATGGGCAGACCTTTCTGTGTGTTAGCAGGCCAGCTACTTTTTGATTCCAAAGCCAGAATTATATCCACAAATATTTCTTCAGATTTTCTAATAACAAGTGTTACAGCAGGACTCCCTGGTTTTTTCTTCTCCATAGTGATGTCTATATCTGTTTAAAAATATAGAAGGAAAGAAAAGGCTTATTGATTCAATTTTCCCTGGAAAAAATCGGGCAAAGTGATATAACTGTAATTGAAGATCTAAGTATAAGATGAACATTAGTTCTAAAACATAAAATTACCCCAYGAGGCAGGGTGTTTTACTCATTTAACCCATATTTATTAATACCTATGATTGGTAGGTGTTGTCAAGATTCTGTCTAGCACATATGAGGAGGGGCCCCTAAAGACTTGGGATTTGAGAGTGTTGTAATTGAATTTTCATTTAGAATTGTGGATACCAGTTTGTAAGGAAGYCTGAAAAGGAGACATATGAGTGGCAGGGAAGAGAGAGACCTGAGAGCAGACCACACCAATAGCCAGGCACAGAGCAGTGAGCATCAAGAAGGGGAGTAGAAATGAGAGCAATTAAAGAGGTTCAAATCAGGGCTGGGATATAGAGCAGTGGTAGAAAGCTCACCTAGCATGTGCAAAGCCCTGGGTTTGACCCCCAGCCTCCCTCAAAAGAATGTTTTTTGAGAGTAGCCTGAGTAAGTAATGAGATCCCACCTCTAAATAAATAGAATAAAGAGGTTTAAATCAACAGAACTAGATGGTAGATACACTGAGTGTGTGAGGTKCGGATGAAAGTAGGAGCCCGGGATTCTAGCCTAGATTTTGGCCTGAGAAAGGGCTGATGTTGATTCCATTCCCCAAAACAAAAAGCAGGGGGAAGAAAAATCAGGCCAATATGAAATTCACTTTAGACATCATGAGCTCTAAGTGCCCAATCAGATATAGGCACTAGAAAGGTGGCTGTTGGTGGTCCTGCTTTAGCCTTCCTGAGTCGCTGGAATCATACTGTGCACCATTGTGCAAATGCTTGTAGTTTGGATCTTTTTTTTTTTTTTTTTTTGGGGGGGGGGGTTGCTGGGGATCAAATCCAGGGCCTTGTGCATGCAAGGCAAGCACTCTACCAACTGAGCTATATCCCTAGCCCCTATAGTTTGAATCTTAAGGATCCYCTAAAAATCCATGTGGTAAAGGTTCAGGGAGGCACTACTTGGAGGTGGTGGAAACTTTAGGTGGTGGAGCCTTGTGGGTGGTCTTTAAGTCACTGGGCCATCCCCTTCAGGTGGACTGTGGGACCCTGCTACCTTTCTCTTTATCTTTTTTTACTTCCTGGGCAGGAAGTGACTGGTTTTGCTCTACCTCATGTGACTGAAGCTCAAATAAATCTTAATCTTTATAAACTGATACTCTCAGGTATTATTATAATACCAGAAAGCTAACCAACAAAATGTTCTTCCTCAGTTCTTCTGGTCCTAGAAAAAGGTACRATCTAGAAACCTGGGAACCATCTTAATTTAGTCCTTTCTCTCACCCCCTACTATTAATCTAGATGCAAGTACTGCCACAGTTTGGATCTGCTTCCTTTTCTCCATCCCTAGCACTCAATGCCTATTCATCTAAGCTACTTCAAGTATTAAAACATTTTCCTATTTGCCTTCTTATATGTCTCCATGGAAGCCTTAGTAAACTTTTTTTAACTTTATTTTTTGTATGTATGTATATGTATATATATGTGTATGTATGTGTGTGTGTGTGTGTATATATATATATATATATATATATATATATATATATATATCTTTTACGTGGTGCTAAGGATTGAACCCAGGGCATCACTCTACACTCAGGTGTAGGCAAGTGCTCTATACCTGAGCCACAACCCTAGCCYCCGAGTAAACTTTTAAAGATACAAAGTCAATCATTACTCCTTGATTAAAACCTGGATTCTCAATGAAAACAGAGTAACATCTAAATCCTTTTCCAGGATTGTCAAGTCTTTCCTGAATGTTGCCCCTGCCTGTCACTCCTCCCCTTGTTCACACATTTTGTTCCTTGAGGTGGCCAGGTTCTTTGCTGCTTCCAGGTCATGCTCCACTCCAGTACACACCCCAGATCATTCACTGCAATTCAGTGTTATGTTATTTATACTGTGGCTCTACTAGATTATGAGCTTCAAAAGGGGATCCCACCAATTTTACTCAGGCACATTTATCCAGTGACACAGGCAGCAGTTTAGTAAGTACTCAATGGAAACCAAAAGAGAGCCAGTCAACACTTAAGAAGAATACCAAGAAGATGCATCAAATGAAAACCAATGGTAAAGAAGCTGTTTCTAGAAGGAAATAGTAATCAACAGTCTGTGGCAGAGAAGTTAAAAAAAAAAAAAACAGTCAGGAGAAGGTAATTTCTGAGTAGCATTAGACCTTTAAGAATCAAAAGCCAAAAATCTTACCTTTGATATTTTTAATTTCATCTTTAATGATTTTCCTAAACTTTAACAGCATCTTAGAAGCTGACAATATTTCCTCTTCTACAAAGTGCTTCAGAGGATTTCCTTTGGGATTTCTTTTGAACTTCACGAAGTAATGAGCACCACTATCACAATATTCTTCTAGCTGAATTCTGGGGACTTCCAGTTTAAACATGACATCAAATTCATTAGGTGCAGAAATCTAAGAAATAGTAAAAATAGAACTGAAATGTATACTTGTGAATATGTTCCAAGTAAATGCAATTTTTTTCTTGAAATTTCCACTTGGAATCCTATTTTGAAAAGCAAGATTTTTAATATTTATGCCCTTTGGGAGTGGGACTACTGAAGCTGTCGATAGATGGAAGAGTATTACTGGTTTTAGTATGTAGGTTCTACTCTCAATTTTTTCTTTTTTCTTTTTTTATCATAAGAAAGCATTATTTTTATAATTAAAATAATTTTAAATGTAAGCTTTTGGAATCTATACCAGGTGAGGTTTTTTAGTTTGAAGCTTAATAAAATTACAAACCTTTAATGTGCTACCTTTTACACCATAAGATAGACACTGCAGCGACCCTCCTGTCACAATGTTCTCAAAAATGTGTATAACTACCTCCTGGCCACCTAAGCAAGGGCTGTCTCTATGGCTGCCAGCCATCAAATGAGTGTGAGCTCCAAGTCATGCACTACCTATGAACTACAGTATTTGCAGGAGCCTCAAAGAATCTTCTTTTTCATCCTTATAACAATAATTACAGCAATCATAATAAATATTTTCCTTTGTTAAAAATATCACAAGTATTAATTTAGCTCGTGTCTTTAGTTTTAAGTACTTCGATTAGACTGTACTATTCAATACAGAACAGAGTAACCATGTCAGACCTGGTGGCACATGTCTATAATCCCAGCTACTCAGGAGGCTGAGGCCAGAGGATCACTMGTTAGAGGCCATCCTGGCAACTTAGCGATACTAAAATTTAAAAAATGAAAAGGCATGGGGATGTATCTCAATTGTAGAGTACCACTGGGTTCAGTCTCCTGCACACACAAACACACACAAAATCAAGTAACCAACATGTCTATTAATCACATGAAATGAGATATATTATGTAATGGACTCCCCAAATCCATATGTTGGAGCCCGAACCCTGAATGTGACTCTATTTAAAAATAGGGCTTTTAGGAAGTAATTAAGGTTAAATAAAGTCATAAGAGTGGGGCCCTAAACCTGACAGAATTGGTGGCCTCTTCAGAGGAAGATCACATGCACACATATGCACATGCACGGAGACAACCATCTGCACAGCATTAAGAAGGTCCCCACTGGAACCTGACCAGGCCAGGATGCCGATCTCAGACTTTCAGTGTCTAGAACTGTGAGACATTTATATTTCTGTTGTTTAAGCCATCCAGTCCATGGTATTTTGTCATGGGCAGCCAAAGCTGAGACATACTGTGAGGTGAAACAAACACTTGGAGGACATGAGTAGGCATGGTGAAGAGCCTCCCCAAATCTGCTCTTCCATAAGAACACAGGCAGAAATCATAAAATTCAGCTTTTTCAGAACTCTACAAATTAACTAAAGGGTTACAACAAACCAAGGAGGATATATTCAAGAAAAAGAATCCTGAGCTTCGAAGCATTCTAACTTGCCTATGTCTATCCCCAGCACCACAAACCTTCCCTCCTCATTCCTACTTCCTGTCAGTTACTTTCCACCAAGGGTTATTCTGACTTCTAGAAGGGTACATACTATATGATTCCTTTCTTAAGACTTTGCCTCCTTGGGAAAGTCATAAGAAAGGAATAAAACAGTATGTATCCTTCCAAATCTGATTTCATTCAACATTGTGAAATTCAATGTTTTGTTGTGTTTATTGGTAATTTGGTTTTTTTCACTCCATATACTATTCTGTTGAAGTAATATCAAATATGTTCACTCATTCTTTTGACAGATATTTGGGTCATTTTCACTTTTGTTTTGGTGTTAGGGATCAAATCCAGGGCCTGTCACCTGCTAGGCACGTGCTCTACCATTGAGCTACACTCCCAGCCAATCCAGTTTTTAACTATTACAAATAATACTTTTCTGAGCATTCTCTTATATATCTTTTGTGGAAATTACACTCGTTTCTATTGAATGTATGCCCAGGAGTGAAACTGTTGGACCAGAGAGTAGACATTACTTTAATTTCAGAAGAAATTACCAATTTTCTAAAGAGGTAGTACCAAAATCCCTTCCCATCAGTGTTAAGAGAATTTCTGTTTCCCCCATATATTCTCCAACACTGGAACTGTCAAGTTTTTGTTGTTGCTGTTGTTTTTAATTTTAACCATCATTATGGCTTTAATTTGCATTTTCCTAACAATTACTGATGCTATATACCTTTCACGTTTATTGCTATTTGTATACTAACCTATCTGTTCAATTCATTTGCCAATTTTAAATTGATTTATCTTTTTTTTTTTTTTTTTTTTGGTATGGGGCACTTTACCACTGAGCTACATTCCCAGCGGGCCCTACCCCTTCACCCCCACCGATTCCCACCCCCACCTTTGGAGACAAGAGTCTTGCTAAGTTGCTCAGGGCCTCACCAAGTTGCTGAGATTGACCTTGAACTTGAGATCCTACTGTCTCAGCCTCCTAAATTGCTGGAGATTATAGGCATAAGCCACCGTGCCCAGCCTGGTTAATCTTTTTTTGTTGATTTGTATAAATCCTTTGTCAAATATATGTATTATAAATATCTTCTTTCCAGTTGTGTGAGCTTTCACTTTCTCAGTGGTCTTTTTGATGAGAAGTTCTTTAATTCTAATGAAGTCCAAAATATTTATCATTTATGGGTAGCAGCCTTAGTGTCCTGTTTAAGAAATATCTTCACATCCCACAGCTAAGAAGATATTTTCTATGCTTTCTTTTAAAAGCTTTATTGTCTTTATTTTTCACTTTTAGATCTATGTTACATTTCAAATTAATTCTAGTGTGTGATGTGCAATAGGGGTCAATGTTCATGGATGTCCCATTTGGATATCCAACTGACCCAGAACCACTTTTTGAAAGGTCACCCTTTTCCCTATCAAATTCCTTGATGTATATTTTGTGTGCTATATTCAATTACATGTGTAGGTCTATTTCTGGACTTTCTTTTCAATTGGCTTTCTGTTTATAATTGCACCAATTAACACCTGTTTAATTAGGATAGTTTTGACTGTAGTAACTTGTACTCTTTTAGAAGGTAAATCCTCCAACATTTTCTCCTTTCGGTTGCCTTGCATACTAAGTCCTTTGCATTTCCATATAAATCTTTTAATCAGGTTGTCAATTTAAACAGAACAGTGAGTGGATTTTGACTGAGATTGTACTGAATCTATAGATCAATCTAAGGAAACGTGAACATGATATAACTTTCTATTATTTAATTCCTTCTCAAATGGTTTAAGTTTTGAGTATCTTCAGATAAAGCATTAATTTGCAGAATACACAGAGAACTCAAAAAACTTAACAGCAGAAAAATAAATAACCCAATCAATAAATGGGGAAAGGAAATAAACAAGCACTTCACAGAAGAAGAAATATGAATGGTCAACAAATATATGAAAAAAAATTCAACATCTCTAGCAATTAAAGAAATGCAAATTGAAACTACACTAAGATCC